GCAGTTTCCCTGGGGGTGGAGTTTGAAGACACTGGAATCGGACACCGAAGGCAGAATTTGTCCGGCAGAACCCTTGTTACTGGTGATGATGCGCAAGATGGAGAGAAGAGCCCAACCCCGGGGGCATGGGCAGGGTTTGCTGTGAGACAGGCATCCTACGTCACAGCTAACAGACCGGGGTGCTTTGATATGCAGCACGTTTTCATGTTCTCTGCACTGTGGACCAGCACCACAGGCTAAATCCCCTGGCTCTAGAACCAGAGAGACAACGGCAGGGAATCCCTGGCTGCCAAGCTGTGGTGGTGCATCGGGGTTCCCCCGCCTCCTGCACCCCCGTAGTGGCACAAACCGACTCCGCCAGCCAGTAGAGCAGAGGGAGTTTATTGCTTCTCCAGGATACAGCACAGCACAGATGTCATCTGGTTACAGGGCAGGCCTAGGATGCCTCAGGCCCCCTTGAGATGGGGGAGCCTGGGCCCCTAACTCCCAGCCCCTTGCCTAGGCTGCTTCCTCCATGATACCAGACAGAAACTAAAACTCTCTTCCAGCCCTGCCCCCCAGCCAGGTGCTGGTCTCCGCCTCCTCCCTTTGTCTCTCCCTGGGAGGCTGAGCCTGGGTGTCTGGGTTAATCCACGTTTGGGAGAGTCAGTGAGAATCTCCCATCCCAGCGCAGGGGGACCCAGGTCACAGAGCAGACAGCCCCCCACTACGCCACACAAGTCAGAAGAACATAGGCCGTAATGGGTCAGACCAAAGGTCCTTCTAGCCCCGTATCCTCTTCCGCCAGTGGCAGGCGTCCCAGAGGGAATGAACAGAACAGGGCAAATATCAAGTGACCCCTCCCCTGATGTCCATCCCCAGAATCCATTTGCAGAGTAAAACTGCATTGAAGATGTTCATTAGGGGCAACTTCGGGTGACTGAGTCCCAGAGGTCAATGCCGGCTCTAGGCTGTGGCTGCTCTGAACACGGGTGTGACGGGACAGAGCTATCCTGTGCTTCATCCACTAAGAACCAGCTGGAGGGGTTCTGCCTCTTAGGCAAGAGCCAAACAGCTGCTCGGCGTCAGTCAGGATCTCCAGACCTCGCCCACGGCAGCCAGTGAGACTCCCTGTAATCGAGGCCTATGTCCATGACCATGGGATGGGAGGCCAAAGTGCGGCAAGATACACAAGGGGCAAAGAGAACAACCGGCACTACCAGGGTCAGGTGTGCGTGGGGGGGTATTTCTAGGGCTCAAACCCACTTCTGTTCGGAAAGACTTGCCCAGGATCTAGGCTGTGCTTTGTAGAGAAGTTGACGGTAGGAGCCCAAATCACACTAACAGGGAAGCTGCCCACTTCATTCCTTGGCGCCCTTTGAAGGCCCAGCCTCAGTCTCTATTGCTCATGTTTCTGGCCCTCGGGAGAACTGGGCTGTTGTGACTGACAGCACACGTTTGTGTTTTCTAGGCACTGGGTGCAAACAGGATTAGATGCCCTTGAATGAAGGAGCCTTCCTAGTCCTCAGTAAATAAAGGGATGAATATGTAAATGTGTGATCAGCTGGAACAGGTCCACTGGCTCCATACTGTGGACTTTAACAAACTGCTTTATCAAATATTTATAGGGCCCTTCTGGCCTCTCTGCAAACACTGCCATTTAAACCACCAGCTCGAGGCGGCGTTTGCCAAGGGGTGACTGGAAAGGCTCCAAGGAGCTCTCTGTGTGTCTCGCGCAGGACACTTAGGTTCCGTGGCTATAAAACCAGTAACTGCCACCCCCTCCCTGCACGTGTGAAAACAGCCAGATGAGGCTCAGCAGAGTCCGAGTGACGGGCCATTTTGTCTCTCACGCAGGCTGTTTGCTCACGTCACCCCAAGACAGGGCGGCGGTTCCGCCCTGGTGCATTTTCATAGTACATTCTGTTCTAGGGGTCTGTGTCTGCACACACCAACCCTGCGAGGATGGCTTGGGAATATTAAGGAGGAAGATGCGATCCTGCAATAGGCTACCTGCAGGTAAAAGGGGTCTGTTCACAGGGAGCAAGCGGCAGGACTGGGCCCTAGAGCGCTATATGGCATTTACATCCCAAGAAGATTTCAAGGAGTTACACAAGGGTCTCACAAAACTGGGCGACTGACACAACATGGCAGAAGCAATTCAATGTTGCACAGTAATGCACGTTAGAAACAGAGTCCTAGCTATACACGTACAGTGAGGAATTCTAAACCAGCTGTCACCACCCAAGGGGTCTTGGCGTCTGCAGGGAAAGTTCTCTAAACATGTCAGTTCGACGGGCAGCAGTAGGCAAGGAACATATGACAGGCAATATCATAACGCTACGATATAAACCCATGGTGAGCCCTCAGCTCGAATACTGCATCCACGTCTATTCACTCCATCTCAAAGGGATGTAATGGAACTGGAAAAGGTTCGGACAAGGACAACAGAGACGATCCATGGCATGGAACGGTTTCCATGAGGCGAGATTCGAAAGCCTGGGATTGTGCATTTTAGAACAGAGATGCCGAAGGGGTCTGGAAATTCACAAATGGCGTGGAAAGAAGGGAATAGCGACGTATTCCTGAGCCTTCTCACAGTGCCCAAAACAAGGCTCACAGGATGAGGTGAAAAGGCTGCAGGTTTAACGCAAACAAAAGTACTTTCCACACAGTGCACAGACTGCCTGAGGATGCTGAGCTCCAAAGAGGATAAACTCCTGGAGGACAGGTCTGCCTGTGGCTATTAGCCAAGATGGTCAGGGATGCAGCCCTGTGCCCGGAGAAATCCCAAAGCTTAACCCTCTGACTATCAGGTGCTACAAGTGGAAGACTGGTGGATCACTCCACACTGCCCTGTTCTGTGTACTCGCCCTGAAGCGCTGGCACCGGCCTGTCAGAGACAGGACACTGGACAAGATGGCCAAGGTGTCACTCTTACGTGCTGACCTTCTGCACAGGACTGAACTTCAGGAAAGCGCCCACAGTGTAGTGCAGTTGTATAAGGAGAACGCTTTGATCCGCATGTGTTGCTAAAGCACACGCATGTCCAGATTCTCCCTTGGGAGGGCATGGCTTTGGTTTCAGAGCTAGATATTTCTAGAAAACCCAGATGGTTAGCAAGAACTGGAGCATTAATTACCGGATTTTTTTCATATTTTGAAAAGCACAATACCCGTCAGCTCCAGGGGACTGAGCTAGGTGCAAGCTCGTGAACCTAACAGCCAAGTGTCCCACAAAAACTGCGCTGAGCAGCCGGGAGGAGCAGTCAGTACGTCCCGTGGAAGAGGGGGAGTTCAGGGGAGGTGATGGTACCTTGCATCAGGATCTCCATGGCTGTGCGCTGCTTTATTAGCTGCCTGTCTTCCACTTCGCTATCAGAGCCTTCGTCCTCTTGGATCTCTATGTCTGAGTCCTCATTATCTGTTAAACAAAACCACCACAGCAGGGAGTTAATGTAATCAGACGCAAGGCAGCGGTTGGGTGCAAGGCCATGCTAGTGCTCTCTGCTTGCTCAGGGATTCCTGGCACTCGGGGGCCGCAGGGGATATGTCTACACTGCTATTAAAAGCTGGAGGGCTTGGGCTAAGGGGCAGTTTAACTGAGGTGTAGCCAGATGCTCCAACAGGGGAGGGAGGGATAAAGGGGGCAGCTGCCCTGGGCTCCTGGCCACCGCTACTGCTACAATGGCAATGGCAGCAGCCAAAGCTCCAGGCCCTTTAAATCAGTCAGATCACAGGTGGCGTGGAAGTGGTGGCTGGGGAAGGCCAAGCCCCAGCCCTGCCCCTTCTGCCAGAGGCCCCCACCCCTTCTAGGGGCCTGGAGCTCCCCTCTCCTCCCCCCAGTTTGTCTCCTTGTTCATTGCAATTCATGGCCAAACCCTTAGCTGGTATAAACTGATGTGGCTCTGCTGACTTAAATGGAGCTCTACCATTGACACCAGCTGATCATCTGGCCCTGTATTTTAAAACTGTTCTTTTATCAACAAAGGTTACGTGCGGGCCGAAGAGGATACTGATTACGCTAACCTTCTTGGTCTATGTCCCCCCGGCGCGTGCAGAAAAGGGGCTTTACCCTGTGCACTGTGCACTGTAGAAACAAACACAAAAGATGCGCTGGGGGGAAGATAAGCAATCCTTTTCCAGGTAGATTTAATTACCAAAATGTCATTCTAGAAAATGGATACATCTTCCTTTAATTATGATTAGCGGTAAGCTGACATTCCCTTACAGCGACTAATTACAGATAAATGCTAGCCTGGTTTTTTCCACAGTCATATGATCACAATACCAAGTGACTGAGAAAACAAAGGAAGAGAGGGACCCGAGACATGGGCTGGTGAGGTTATGGAACTAACTGCCAATATTTTCTGTACCAGCCACGTGAGGCAAACCTTTACTGCCCTGTCTATTACTCAGCATGCACCAAATACCATTTCCAGCGAGTCAATATTCACGAGTCCAATTTTATTCAGTCTTTGCTCATGCAACCCCCTCAGTGAGGGCTTGGTATGAAGGAAGGCAGGGCCGTGGAATCTGGTGCTCTACATACAATGCAGGATGCGACCGGCTCACGCAGCTGCTATTAAAGGCCAGTTGTTTGCTTCTTGTTTGCTTTTTCAAGAAGCAATTTTTATCTTTCAATTTCTGAAAACACTGTGTTAATCCGGTGCGCCGAAGGCTAGCAGCGCTGGCCAGAGCCAAGGGCACTCCAGACATCTCCGTGTATGTCCTACCAAAGCCCCACCGTGGGACCTCCATCAGCACACCCCAGGCTTCACATCCAGCACTCCTCTCAGCAGGGACTGCACTGAGCAACGGGCTAATCTGACCTTGCACACAAGCACTTGACGAGAAGGGCGAACTCTAGCCGGGGTACCTCTGGGTGCAGTGACACCTCCAGTGTTAACTCTTCAAGTGCCTCTGGGCCACAGCCAACAAAAAAGCAAAGAAACAACCCGCTGATGCCCTGCCTGGCACCTTCACTTTACATTTCATTGTTTGAAAAGCCTTTTAAACGGTCTGTGGAAATGTATGCCATGTATCCTTCCCGTAGGGAAAACCAGCTCCTGGGGAAGTGGGTCTTTGCCCACGAAAGCTTATGCTCCTACACTGCAGTTAGTCTATAAGGTGCCACAGGACTCCTCGCCGCTTTTGCAGATTCAGACTAACATGGCTACCCCTCTGATATTTTCAAACCATCCACCTTTTCTAGGCTACCAAACCCAGTTTGCCCCCCTCTTCCTCCAGCACTGGCGGGGGGGCCTCATTTTCATTTGTAGAAATGAAATCAATCATTTCCTAGAGGTTTTCTGCTAGGAAGTGGGTTGGTCTTTGAACCTCAGGCTGAATTCTGCTGCAGGAACAGCTAAGATAGTGACTGCAGAGATAGTAAATGGCTAGAGATCTCTATCCTGCTTCTGACAAAATAAGTTCTTTGTGGGGTGGAAAGAGTTTAAATCTTGCTTTTTTCACCTCCAGCTCCTTCCTTTCTTCAGTGCTGGCTGCCGTCCTTAGCCTCCTCAACCCCCCCACACACGCGCTGGCTCTCTTAGCCTTGTCCCCCGTTCACTTTTCCTCCCCCACTCACTTAACTGGGCGCCGGGGTCTTTAAAATGTTTTCAGTGATGAAATCGCAGCGCTCTGCCAGGGAGGGCCAGTTAGCGTGTGGCTTACAAACGGCTCCACCAGCCGGTCCGAATGTGGTTTGGATCATACTCCAGTGAATTTTTCAAAGTCTGCTAGACACTGAAAGTCAGTGGGAGGAGAGCAGTAGCTTTCATTTGTGTCTTTAAAAATCTCACCGCCGATTCCAATAGCAATGAAAGGTGAACCCATTCGCCAGAGGAACGCGCACTGAGCTGCAACTCGGACACAGTTGTTCCCTAGGTACCTAGCAGGCTGGCGACATGTTTCTGGTAACTGTCTGACTGGCACACGTGGGCTAGCCCAGCAAACCGAGGGGCATGCTAAAACCAAAGGATCCTTGTAGAGGAGCTCTCTCCCTGTATTTGAGCAAGTGCCTGATGAACAGGAAAATGGGGCTTACAAAGGAGGAACCCAGCGTGGAGCCGGTGCCTCCAAAGCTCTTGCCACCCCTCGGAAAGCAAGCCCAGCATGTTTTTCCTTTAATTAAAAAACTTCCACTGGCATCTCTGCCATGCAGCTCATTCTCGCCAAAATGAAATCAACTATCACACCTCCGCTCTGTCTTTTGCACATAATCCCCAGAGTTATTAACAACAAACCAGAACTTGTACTCGACTGTGATACTAAGGAATCAAAAGTAGAGACGTAACTTATTATTGCAAATTACATTTTTAAAATACATGGTGGAAGCCAGCTGTGTAAGCATTCCTTGTGGGACTGAGGCAACACACTTCTGCCACCCTTGCAAAGGGCGACCTTTTTTATCGCCTGTTCCACACGTGCTGGACTATGTAGCACTTTAAAGACTAACAAGATGGTTTATTAGATGATGAGCTTTCGTGGACCAGACCCACTTTTAAGCCTTTTAAGACTGCACTTGAAAGAGAATCCTCTGAACTGATATGCTAAAATTCAAGAAACACTGGAGATATTCCACAGAGATTTCAACAACCTACACCCCACCATCAACCTCAGCCTGGACCATTCTACACGAGAGGTCCACTTCCTGGACACCACAGTACAAATCAACAATGGAAAATTAGACACCACTCTCTACAGAAAACCCACTGACTCATACAGTTACCTACATGCTTCCAGCTCCCATCCAGAACACACCATACGATCCATCGTCTATAGCCAAGCCCTTCGATACAACCGCATCTGCTCTAATCCCACTGACAGAGACCAGAAGCTTCAGGATCTCTACCAAGCATTTATAAATCTCAACTACCCACCCAGAGAAATAAAAAAGCAAATTGAAAGAGCCAGACGAATACCTAGAAACCATCTACTTCAAGACAGACCCAAGAAAACCAACAATAGAACACCACTTGTCATCACCTACAACCCCCAACTTAAACCTGTCCAACACACTATCAATAAACTACACCCTATACTGGAACAGGATACCATACTCCAAGAGGCTCTGGGAGACAGACCCATAGTCTCCTATAGACAACCACCTAACCTCAAGATGATTCTTACCAACAACCACAGGACATACCACACTAATACCAACCCTGGTACCTTCCCTTGCAACAAACCCCGTTGCCAGCTTTGTCCACATATTCATTCTGCTGATACCATTATTGGACCTAACCAAGTGAGTTATAAGATCAAGAACACATATTCCTGCGCATCCAGAAATATAATCTACGCTATCATGTGCCGAAAGTGTCCGTCTGCTATGTACATTGGACAAACATCTCAGACACTTCGCCAAAGGATTAATGCCCACAAAACAGATATCAGACAAGATCACAAAGAGAAAACAGTTTCTTGCCATTTTAACCAGAAAGGACACTCTCTCAATGACTTAACCACCTGCATTCTGCTACAAAGACCTTTTACATCTGCACTTGAAAGGGAATCCTCTGAACTGTCATTCATGTTAAAATTCGACACTTTCCAACAAGGACTTAGTTCAAATGTTTGTTATCTCACCCATTACCAAGATAGTTTCCCCAATTATCACCTCTAATACCATTAACTCACAAACATCCCACTCTCCCTACCTCTAATATCATCAATTCACAGACACTTCATCCCCCTTCTGTTCTGAAATGTGATTTGTCCTTTTCATATGTGTTCATTTTTTTTAATTGTATCCTTTGGTATATATGGTTGTGACTATTTTCTTCCACTATTCGATCTGAGGAAATGGGTCTGGCCCACGAAAGCTCATAATCTAATAAACCATCTTGTTAGTCTTTAAAGTGCTACATAGTCCTGTATTTTGTTGAAGTGAGGAGTTACTGTATCAACCTGATTCTCTGACTAGGACATAATTTAACACAATTCCAATTTTTCACAAAGTTGTGACATGCACCTCCACAAAAATACTGTGTGAAAAATCAGGGCTATTCTAAGTTATACCAAATACTGCTATAAGTCACTTAATACCTGAGCTCCAGATACAGACTGGAGTTTTATTGGTTTACAAGATGAAAGTATTGGAAACCAGGTGCTACAAAGATGATGGTTGTTATTACAAGAGTGATGATACTTACATTGACTGGCACCTTTGATTTCCACACAAAGATCCCACTGACAGACGATTATGTAACAGGATTATTTCGGGCCAACTGTACTTGTTTTGTAGCAAGCAGGGGTTGAAGAGAGAAGGCAAATGCCCATTTATTGAAATTCAGAGCTTGGATGAGTTGAGAACAGCAGCATAAAGACATTTCAAATACCGTGTGACGTACTACACTGATGGGCACGTTAAAAGCCACGGCTAGAACTTAGGACAGATACTGGTTATATATACACAAA